GGGGGAGGGAGAGAGAGAGAGAGAGAGAAAGAGAGAGAGACTGGGGCTTCTCCTGAGAGAGAAAGAGGGGGGAGGGAGAGAGAGAAGGAAGGAGCTAGAGGGAGAGAGAGAAAAGGAGAGTGAGGGACGGGGGCTTCTCCAGAGCTTTCAACTGCCAGGTGGACCTATCTGTGAGCTTGCTGTCACAGAAAGGGTCGATAGGATGACAGGGAGGATAGTGTGACAGGAACAATGAGTGAAAGGCAATAGTGTGACAGGGACAGAAGGGCTGATTTAGTGACAGGGATGAAAGGGAAGATCTGTAAACTGAGAAAGAGGTGATGACCATCATGAGCCAACTGTAACCTTAATAATGCAGCATCTGGAGAGATGACTTCTGTGAGACACTTCTGTGAGCAAAGGTCTGGCATAGTGCATAGTTTGTTCATCATCTATCAAATCACTGTGTACTGATTCAGTATCTGTGATCGCTCAGTCTTTGGAATGGTGCCCTTTTATAAGAGATTAAAGAGCCATAGGTGCACCTACTGATAGCGATAATCATTCTTAAATAGTCTCTTAATCTTAATGGCAGCCCATCCTGTGGGGGCCAGTGGGCTCCTACCCTCCACCTCCCAGGCTCCGCACTAACCCTCGCCTGCGTTCCAAGTTCTGGGTGCCAGGCGAAAGCATTCGGGACGTCATGCTGCCTGATCGCGGCTCCGCTCACCCACCGACGGGTCTGGCTGCCCGCCGCACCTTTTTATGAAGTCAAATTTATGAAGGCATGTTTCGTAACGTACGACTACCTCTCTGCCAAATCGTAACTCATTCGTATGATGGATGGCTGAGGATAAATCTTCTCGGAGAGTTAAAGTCGGGGTAATGCAGCGGTGTTTGGCACCGAGCTCCGAACTCGGGCAGCAGTGTAGAGGAAAAGCGGGCCGTGTTCATGGTAAACAAAGAACGACAGAACATGGAACCGTAAAAAACAAGAATTAAAGAAATGGGTTTATGCATCCTTGATCATGGCAGAGACCCAGTTTTAGCTGGAACCCCAGTAAAGTTCTGGCTGCCCCGTCGTCACTGGTGTCACGCAGGATAGCGCAGTGGACCGGGGGGGTTAGGTACGCCTGGCTGCCCCTAGAACCTCACTGCTGAGTCTATCACAGCTCACCTTCACGCCAAACAGCCCCGTCAGGCTGCACGACACCTCCATCACACCTGCCGGAAAGACAGCCACCTGCCACTGGGATCCTCTGTCCCCACCTGCCACTGGGATCCTCTGTCCAGTGCCCTGCGTATTAACCGACTCAAAGACTGACGCTTATAAATTATGGACACTGCGGAAGATTATATGATATTTATTCCCTGCATGTTATACTGAAGCAGAATTTGAAATCTGCCCCTAAATGAATGATTTTCCCCTGCTTATCAGTTCCATACCTTTATTCTTAATGCCTGATTTCTATGAATACTGACAACTTAAAGCGAGCAGTGTTTCTGATGTGATGACAGCCCACTACATCAAACAATCATGTTGCAGACACAAACAGATCTAATTTCATCATGTATTTTTGTAAACACCTTAGAAGTCTCTTGACCCGTTATTAATCTTTACAGCTTTTCATACGTAGTCAAAATATAATACGTCAAGACCAAGAGAAAATTGTCCATGACAAATTGGTCTCCTTGCCATGTTTAGCTGGACCAATCAAACTAACATCTACATCAGTACATCAGAACATGGATCCTTGGGTTGACAGAAACTTTAAATCCCTGCATGTTATTTTCCCTATGAAATGCTTCCACATACCTTGTTTCAAAAATGATTCTGTGAACTTTTCTGGTGCTCAAACGCAGAACGTGCCCCTTTCGGAATAAAGCACGGGGGCACTGCATGGCCCGGACGGATCAATCCAGAAGCAGTCCATAACATGCCCCCCCACGGTCTCCCCGGGGTCCCATGCAAATTGAGCGGAGGGCTTTCATCCTACAAAGGCTCGGGCAGTGTGAAAGGATAGCTGGCCCTCACTCCGAGGAAAATCCCAACTGCCGACACAGGAAGCACGGAGAAACCAATGACCCGGCACTGGGCGACCAGTCTTGGAACGGAACCCCCCCCCCCCGATACGGTTTGAATTATATCGAGGAAATGAGGCAGAAAGAAGAAGAAAAAAGTACCTCCTGGTTGCCACGGCAATAAAAGAACAGCTTTACCTGACCGCTCTCACATCCTGTGGAGGGGAAAGTAGCGACGGTGGTTTGCAGCGCGGCACCGGTAGCCGGAGTGCATCGCCTATTGCTGCATCACATCAGGGCCGATTCACTGCATCTCCTCGCCAGCGTGGCCGGGGAGCGCCGACCGGCTCGGACGGCAGGAGAGGGAATTCCATCCGCCGGTGCTGCCGCTGACTCCTCACACGCGTCCTCTGCCTCTCACCCGCCGGCGTGCTCCCAGCCACCACTGTCTGTGCCGTGCGCGCGTGTCTGTGTGTGCGTGTGTGTCTGCGCGTGTGTCTCTGTGTATGTGTGTGTGTGCGGCTGCACCACAGTCTGCCCATCATCCCACCCAGGCTGGACATTCTGAGGCTTACTGGCTCCCCCCCCCCCCCAATATTAGATTGCTCTTGGGCCCACTGTCAAACTCAGAAGGCTGCAAGGGGCCAAGCTGCAGGGGGTGGGGCAAGACCCTGGCAACAGGTGACAGAAACCATGACTCAATCAACCTTATCTGTCCCCCCCCAGGTCATGATGGCTCAAGCCACTGTCAGGGACCATCCCACAAGCGACTCCACACCCAAGGACGACCGGGGGGGGTGGTGGTAAACAAATGCACAAATAAACATGTCCCCTTCAGATTATCGTGACGCTTGTTTCCATAATTACCACATCATTTTTTGCCTGGTCAATAAATGTATTCTCCACTTTGATTTACAGTCAAATCCCATTGTAGGAGAGAATAGGAGACAATGACAGATAAGAGAAGTCCAGCATAATTTATTGTTTCAGTTCTGTTGATTAACTATAGATGGACTGCAGACATTTTAATGTGCATGGCTTTATTTTCTCTGTTTGCCAGGTCACTGCATTGTACTGCCTGATTGTTAATGAGGCATATTCACCACTGGTTACGTATTAGTCACTTGGCATGTCCGTAAAATACCAGCCATGGGATTGGGACCTCCTACATAAGGACACACCTCAGTGCTGGTAAGGACCCAGTTAACCATGGTTGTCAGGGTCGCATGTGGCCTAAGGATCTGATCTATGGACCGGATCAAAGCTGCTTTTTGTTTACAGATTCACAATCGATAAGATCTGGGAAGGGAGGGAGGCAGGAGAAATGAAGCGAAAGGAGGTCAGTACAGCGCCAAGCTAAGACGGCTTTGCCAGATGTTACAACTACCCTTTGCTGAGGCAGTCATAGCCTCTGAGGCAGTCATAGCCTCTGAATGTTCATCAGGCTCTTCAACAGATATGTACTGGATCAGGTAAACCATAGTAAACCATGGACTGCAGAATCGTGGGGGGTGAGGGGAGTGGGAGGCCATGCCAATGTCCCAGTAACTTTCGGAGCATCTTTGAGAATGCAGTCATGAACAATCATGAAAAAATTACCTCCAAATAATTTTATGCAAAACAATTAAGTTTTTATTTTTTTAAAAAAAAGCCTAAATTATGTCCTTGCATTTTTTTAGGTGAGGCGAAAAATATTGCCAGGTGTTGCGATTTGATATCTGCCAATCAGTGGTATTTTTAGACATATTTAATGTCACGTCATCATGGCATTGGCAGGCATCGGGAGGAGGGGAGCAGCCTTTGACGGGTTAGGAAAAAAAACAGGAGGCAGAAGGTTATATCTGAGTTTCCATGACTTAATTCCCTCTCCTTACGCTCGCCCCCCAAAATGTGTCCTATGGATCATGAGGAAAACACCAAAACCCATTTGGGGAGACTTCTGTAATCCGTAGCCCTCCCTTGGTGTGATTGCATCCTGCCATTTGAGAAAACCAGTCTTAATTCCCATTAATTGCAATATCTCTGCACTACTGCTCCGAGAAGAAGTCAAAGGAAATCAATCACTGGGAAAGAGAGGCTGGTTGCTAGGTGATTATTGACTTATTAATAACCATTTGTCATTTAAACTGAAATGCTCTGAGTTTATATACTGTACTTCATACACGTTTCTGAATCTATCTGCTAGAGCAGAGAGGAGGCTTACTGTGCGACTGGCTCACCGTAATCCTCTGCTGGTCGGAGTGTCACGTCCTACAACTGTTAGATCTCACGAGAAAGTGCTGCCTTGTACTGTTTTACAAAACAGCTCCTCACATGGCCTGTGCTGAGCATGAAGTAAAAGAGCCAAAATAAAAAAGGAGAGTGACCACTGACTGCTACTCCTGAAGGGTTTCTGAAACTGGGCGTGACCTACATTCTGCTCCCAGCAGCACATGGGGGGGGGGTTACATCAGGAGTATGCAAAAATCAAAAATAACTCCTGCCAGCTTAGAGGCTTGCCTTTTGCCTGGCATGTGTGTGCGAATCTTGCCTTGGGTTGGGCCGCTTAGGTTGGCACTTTCAGTCTGACAAGATACGAGTCCCACGATATGATTTTGCAGAGTTGGGGGGAAGCTGATGGTAGGTATTGGGCTCCTGGAAGTGCCAGGGTATCTATACCCCACTAACCACGGTGAAGAGTGGATTGGTGAGTGTGTGTCCGCTGACGGACTGGCTCCTGTCTGGGATGTCGCCCGCTTTGTGCCACGGCGGCACTAGGAGCCATTATGGAAGATTGTCAGGGTTGGTGCCTGTCCGACCATGTCCTATGTGTCTTGTCCAATTTTGGCCAGCAGGTGTCGCTGATCATCCCGTTTCCACCCTCTCTGTCTTGTAGCCCTTCAGCTCCTATAGCTCCCCCATTCAAAACTGGCCCTCGATTCCAAATCCAGACCTTGTTTTCAGTTCTCCCATGTAGTTAGTTTAATAATTACTTTATTCTGATTGGCCAGAGGCTGATTCACAGGTAAAGGAAGGCCCTTGAGGGCCGTGATTTGCATAGCCCTGTCCTCGAGTGTTTCCCTGCTCCCCAGGCCGCCGTTTAGCTCAATGGGTTGAGTGAGCGGCTCTGAGGCTGCCCCCTCCAGTCAGGAGTCACCTGTTATTTAATATGTATTGGTTACAGTCCTGCTTTTTGTTGTGCTCTGGTGCCTAAAGTTTTGTTTACTTTGTGGTTTCTTTAGTTTGTTCTTAATTTTCCTGTTTTGTTTTTGAGCCCTCATTGTCCCTTTATTTTGTGGTTTTCCCCTCTGCATTCTGTTTTGGTTAATAAATCCCTTTTCGTTTGAGGCACTCTGTGGATTGTCCCTCTTTTCCCTCCTTCACCCACCATAACGGAAGATGAATGTTTCTGCTTAGGCATCTTCAACATCTAAACCTAAACAGGAGGTATGCAAACTATCTAAAGCTAAATTAGCAATACTGATGTATAAATATGTCTCCTTAGATACGCATCTATTATATCAGTAATGATAATTCTGAACAAAGATAACTATCTTTTTGCTTCATTTCCTCATGGTTAATTCATTTCCTTCAATTAGAACCTAGGGCATAACTTTGGGTTGAGCACTGGGGGGTTGAGGTCTCCGTCCATTTAAGGGGGTCCAGGGGGTTGTATTGGCTGGTTTTGATTATTGGGCGAGGGGTTACAACCCCCCCCCCCCCATCCCCCATAATTTACGCCCATGATTAAAACCCATATAATTCCTAGCTCTCCTTTGTGTACCTGACCAACGTGGCAATTATAATAGCACCAGCTGTTCATTAAAGTAAAATATATTACCGTAAATTAACAACCTATATTTTCATCCGGTGATAAATCGCTGTAGGGAAATGTGAGAAAGGTCCGTTCAAGTCGAATAAAACCTAAATGAAATTGAACTCTTTCACGCAAGATCTTTATTTAAAAGCATTGTCACACATATAAAACGGTGCCAGTACGGCGCAGGGAAGAAATTAATTTAAAATATTTATAAAGCCTCAGCGAAAGGCCACTTGTGTCCCTCAGCATTCCTGCTAAAGTTAATGTTGACTATGTAAACAGGGGAACAGACCAGTGAAGGATTGCTGCTTATGACCCAAATTAAGTTAAATTACAATCTATTCACGACATAATCTTAATCGTTGCGTCGAAAGGGATTAATCGGGAATTCCCGATGGACATTTAAAGTAAATTAATCCCTGACATTGACAGCAGCGTCCTTGGGAAATCCCATCGGGGACTCTGCAAAAAAACACGTTATGTTTCTCGCAACTGGTACCAGTTACGCCGAACATGCAGCGGGGATACCACGGAAACAATACTAATTCACAATACTAATTTCAACTATTAATACTTAAAGGCCTATATCTTCTAATCAATATAATTTGTAATTATTATGCAGAAATATATGAGTCTTGGTAACCGCATACAAGTTTTAGACTAAATTATATGTCTTTGGTGTAAACTTTCGTTTACTCCCTTACCTGAACTAAAGCTGACTACATTTATTCATATGCATCCTTAAATTAAATTTGATTTTACATAATTTTATATGTCTGTTTTAATAAAAGCACCAGTCGCCTTTTTGGGGGTTTGACAGTACCAACCCGCGTTTGTCAAGTACGTCACTGCATGTTTTATGTTAATCGTATACCATAACCTGCGTATACCATAACCAGCGTATACCATAACCAGCCCATATCACGATAGCGTGAGCGCTCGCTGGCACGGACGGGACCGTGACGCAGCCCGTCCAGATCCGAACCGTCCAGGCTAGACTCCGGCTCTTCACTGTATTAATTAATTCAGGGCAAGTCTCGCGGTGTTACCTCTCAGACATCTTGCATTTTTCAGTCTGAGAAAGAAAGAGGCGATTTATCGCGTAGTCCGTCCGAAACGGGTCGCCGCTCGGTCCGGAGCAGCTCCGCGCTTCGAGGTGCAGATCGCTTGCCTGCCGCTTGCCGTGCCGAACCCGGCAGCGGCTCGCCTTCCCCGGGCTGTCCTGAGTCCTGCGTCATCATCTTTTCTGCATTTTCGCCTTTTTCTCCCCAATCCGAGACGACATGGCAACACCCGCCGCTGTTAATCCGTCGGGTAAGTGTAACATTCATTTTGAAGGGAAGCGATCGGTCGCGTTAAAAGCGACGTGAGACATCGCGTGTAATGTTGGCTAATTTTTCTACGGTAACAAAAGAATCGCAGCTCCGGTGCCTTTTTTCCCTCCGACATCAGAAGGGACTGGCTGCCTGCATATGTGGGGGAAGGGGGGATGCTGCCTTTATAACAATCTAACATTTAACTCATAAGAGCTGATTTTTCATTTTTTTGTCCCGTGATCTGCCAATACATGATTATTTGTCTCTTACATTTTCCGTATCCTGCTAAAGTCACTAATTCTGACTTGCATGCGATAGTTTGCGACGATCAAAGGTTCTTTTTTTGTAAATGCAAATTGTGGATTTTCTGAATACATTAGACAGCGAGCAGTACGTGATTGA